ACTCGGCGTCAACATTAAACCCGCCTTCAACTTTTGCTTAAAAAAATACTGTCTCTTGATGCTTTTTTACATAAGGGTATAGGGTCTGCTGACATTTTGGTGGGTCAAAGTGTAGTTCGTGAGATTTAATCATCTAAAATTGCGTGCCCATACCTTGTATTTGGCGTTACCACACTCGCAACGCGGGTGCCGTTAATTCAAAGTTGAACAGTGGCGTGGGAGCGATTGCGACGGAAAGGTCAATACACAATCTCTTTTGGTTTTCAGAGACGCGTTGAGTTGCTAAATATGAGTCTTGCCACCATGAAGGGATAAAAATTGTCTCTTCCCAAAAAACCTTGTTGCATTCCTTGCAGAAGATCTAAATTCATCACAGAATCAATCAGTCTATACTTTAGGGTAATATGCCTTGATTCAAAACATAACTGCACGAGTTCATTGGTGTAGAGTTGAGTACAGTAAAGGTGGGTGGACAGAACACACCCCTGAGGTGACCCCTGGCTGGGACACATGAGAGGCCTTAGGATAAAGGTGTATTTACCTGGGCGTTCTCTGTGACCCTTCATAGTTAGGGAAATCAAACCAGCCAGCAGTGATGGTACCAAAGTCAATATCAGAGAATTCGCCAATAGTCTGGTGAGGCAAGGATAGCGGGCCTGCATTACAGTTGAGATGCGTTGATGAGGAAATCAAGTCAAAACACAGCGTGCATGGCTGTCTTCTTTGCCCCTCTAAGCATGGTCCACTAACAAAAGTCCAGCAAGTGCTTGCTGCTGGCATCCTCACTTCCCTTACTTTGTAGGATGTTTCAAATTGGAGTGGATTCAATCAATGCCCTGAGTCATGAACATATAAACTCCTCTTTACAATACGCCCTCAAAACCTTTTCATGCACCCAGAGACGTTCGCAGAGGGCCTTGCGGGCTCTTCCCTTGATTTGGCTCGTCTGCCTCAAGGGTTTCTTCCCAGACGTCAGTCTCATCATCAGAATCTGAACTTTCCCTCAGACTTCAATTCTAAATTCAGCCAGACATCATTTAAAATCATGCGGCATCTAATCTGTAAATAACAAACTGATTCAAGTCCTCCACCAGAGACAAAAGAGTCAGGTTTGTCAGATGTAACCACCCCTTTTTTCTTATCACTCATTCCCACCATAGCCAATGGCGTCTTCTGTCATCATTGCTGTTACTTACATGAAATCCAGTTTGCTGTCTACCGCCTGCCCACATCCATGTGCCTGCAGCGTAACATTATCATTATATGATGAATGATGATTACATTGTGGGTTTTCTTTAGAAACACCCAGTAGGCTATAGAAAAGAACCCTTTAACATGAGGTAATGAGACATAACAGTGTAGCTTTAAAACGTACAGAAAAGCTGCAGTAGGAAGTGGGGGTGGAAAAACCACTGCCGGTATAAAGTTGGGTCATGTCTGGATTGTGTAAAATAGGAAATAAACCTTTTATGGCTACTTCGACAGAACTGAAGTTGTGGTTACTGTCAAAGCATTTTCCTTCCATTCACCCTCTTTCCATGTTTTCTATTTGTGTCCAGCGGGTCCTTGCTACCCTCCCAACCCGATGCCTTACAGCCAGGCTGCGTACAGCCCCGGCCAGCCAGCGTACCCTCTGCAGCCGCCTGTCCAGCCGCAGCCAGGCGTTCCACCCGCACGCCCAGACTACCTTGCCCAGCCAGCATACAACCCGGATTTTGTTGCACCACCACCCAAAACTGGATAATAGACCACAGTACCACACGCTCAGCCACTTAATATGTGCTGCAACATTTTCAAACTTGGCAGAACTGGAAATGTGTTATCTGAATCAAGATGTTGATTGTTTCTGAGCGTCTTGATTTGTGTATTTTGGTGGTTAAAATTTGGAAAAATCATGACACATTTGTAGTTGTTACAATACATCTGTACTGTTGAAGAGATGCCAAGTAAAAATACCTCTTGGCTCGTATTGCATGGACTTACAATGTACAAGTGTTGAGATTGTCTTTTTTTTTTTTTTTAATATATTTCTTAGTGACTCCATCTTAGTCATCTTGGTAAATTACACACAAAACTACTCAGTCTTTGACATGTTTCCAGCCTTCTGAACCCTGCCTCAAAACCTCTCTCCTAGTCCCTGGCTGTACTGCGCACCGACTGAACCTTTGGTGGCCTCTTAAGTCACCATATGGTGGTTGTAGTCACACTCTTTGGATGAGTTTTAGTGGTCATAATTGCTTTCAGACCAATTAGGTGCTTTAACCCTTTTTTTTATGTACTT